CTTGCTGGCTGGGGAATTCTGGGAGTTGGTCCACACATCTTATAGTTGCCAAAGTGGAGAAACACTGGTCTAGTCCCTGAAAGAGAGCTCTCTTTAGTTGATGTATCCAGTGAACAGGTTGCTGAGGCTCCTAGGTACTTCCTGGCCTTTCATAACATGCCCTGATTAAGCAGAAACACCTCATGGCTCTGCTTTATTCCCTTTATAGAACTCTGCTCCTGATTTAACCTAATCCAAAGAAACTTTTTGTCTGCCAAATCACTTAGTTTTGAAATGCTGGAAATAGAAAGAACCTTGACTTGCATCATGCAGGTAAGACTAAGCAGGCCAATAACAACCATTTTAGAAAAGGGGGGGGGAGGGGGGAGGGATCTGCCCTCACTCCCCCAAACTAAGATCTATGACTAGCCTTTAGTTAGTGATCTGCTTACCCATTAAATTGCAAAATTCCTGGAAAGCATTAAAAAAACCACTTTCCCCTAATGAATCCATTGCAGCCTATTCAACACAGTAGTGAGCAATTTGTGAGCCGCGAGTTACTGAAGCCCCAAATATAGTAACGGTTTAAAAAAATCAATCAAAATGCCTCCCATTCCTCCAGGAATAAATACCTAAAAACTTTCCCACTACAGAATCCTTTTAAACACAACCGCCCTTCGCCACAACCCCAAAACCCAAACTAATCAGGCCACCCCTCCAGAGCCATCTCGGAGAACGTCAACCTTTGCGAGGTCAGCTTCGGCCACGAAAAGATGAAGACTCGGGGGCCGCGCTGGAGATCGACGTACCCGCAAACAGGCACACACAGATGTCTATCTGTATGGATGTATGACGCACACCCCCGACGCTTGAGATACCTTTGATTCCTGGCTGGTGGTGGAGGCAGGAGAGGGGGGCTGACAGTCGTTCTCCTTCCCCACCCTCTCAAGGCTGACTTCAGTCGCGTTGCCCGGAGGAATCATTTCGCCTCTGACAGGAAAAACCGCCGCTGTGACTGGCTGTCAAGAAGAGCTCTCCGCTTAGTTCACGTGTTCTCGCTTCGCCATTCCTCCGGAGCCAGCGGGTTTCCTCGGGCTCCGCCGGACTCCAAGATGCAGGCGTGGATTTTCTACTTAACAACAATTAAACCCTCTAGCCTTCCTCCGCTGCCTTCACGTTTTATGCCTCCCCCACCCCGCGTCCCTCCCGCCCGCATCTGCTCCTGCTTGCAAGTTATGGATTGTTCACCGGTACCAAATTAATCAGGGACGGTCGACGCGCCCACTGCTGTTTCTCGGCTCCTGTCGACCCTCCCTTTTTCCTCCCCAGCCGGGTAGGTGTAACACGGAGAAGCCGACACGCCCCCCCCCCCCGCGAGCCCCGAAGGGGAGTGAGCTGAGCAGAAAGCGTGAGCGTAACACATGGAGGGCGGGGAGGCAGCGGAGCAGCTCTGTGGCGCCTTGGAGCGGAACACGTGCTTCTAGTAGTGGCAAGGAGCGACGTCCACGAGGACTCCTGGGGAGCTGTTGTAAAGCCCCGAGGACCTCGTCCAAAATCCAAACCTTTCTGTTTCTGGATCGTGCTTTCCAGGAGGTGCTGGCCAGTTGTTCTTCCTCTCATTTTTCCAGGTAGAATAAGATGTAACCCTGAACGTCCTTTCCTGCCAGGCTGCTGCAGTCGTTAGCCCTGGGCTACAACCGAGCAGACCTGATTTCAAATCCTGGTCAGTCATCGAGAATTTTTGCATTAGCCATTTATAGCGTCATCTGGCCATTGCTGTGGCAATATAACATCAAGGGGTGCAGACATTTTATTGCCACGGTGGCAGTGATGCAATAAATTGTGGAAAGAGGTAAGGTCTCTTCACCAGCTTGTTGTATTAGTAAAAATGAGATCACTGCTATGGCCTAGTTTGTGTGATACCCTGAGCCATATTTAAGCTTGAATATTGGGTGAATCCACCTCTGTAGTTTATTGTGTCGTGTGAACCCAGGTAATTGGATGGTGTAAACAGTGGTTCAATTAACCGTGGAAAAATGTGTTATGCAAACAAAGCCACTAAGTTTTTCTCAGTAAAGAAAGGACCGGCGGTATCAGGTTAATACACACACAAACAATTTAAAACGGGGCAGAAATTGTTTTTGAAAATTCTGAAACATGTAAACTGGTGTGAGTCCATTTGGAGTTGGCAGTATACAAATAGAAGAATAAATAAATATTCTCCACCAAATTACCTGTTCTTCCACATTCAACATTATTTGCAAGGGAGTTTTCCTAAGACAAATGGCACTGATGCCCTAGCAAGATAGAACTCAGAGGTATTTACCAGGGTGCATATCCTTTTACTAAGGTCAAGAAGGCACATTCCTTGTGTCTGCATGTATACCTGATTTATTACTCTAAAGCAAGGTTCCCAATCTGGGCACTCTCCTGATGTGTGCATTTCAACTCCCAGAATTCCTTAGCTATCATGCCATTGCTGAGAATTCTGAGAGTTGAACGTCCAAACAACTTGGGTGGGAACTGCTCTTTTAGAGTGTTCCTTTCAGTGAATCCCCTACTGAATCTCAAACAGCTCTTTGTAATTTCCCAAAATAAAACAAAACAAGCATGTGGAGATGAGTAAAGGGGAAAAGGGAAGGATTACAACTACATGCCTACATGTAGGATTAGGACTACATGCCTGTTATGCTAATTCAAATTGTGAAAATTCATTTCTTTCCTAGTGACTCTAAAACTTTTCTGTGTTTCATTGATTTCATGAAACAATTTACATGACTTTATTCACTAGAGAAAAATATTAGGTCGTCCAATTATCCAGATTTAGTACTATGGCAGAACATGGCATAGTATTTAGGTTTGTATATCACACCAAGCCATAGTTAGCGTAACTGCGGTTTATTGAATAGCACAATCAGCTGAGTTCATGCAATTTATTAAGGTCTAAAAACTTGGTTTATGGATTAAAATAGCTGGATTTCACATGCTGAGCTAAAACCAAACTCCTTCATGAGTTTGTGTATTGTGTGAGTCAAGCCAGTGAAGAAAAGGAATTTTGCTTGGATGGCATTGGTATTTATTTGGCAAAAGAAAGGAATCCAAAGGAAAAAAAAAATATTTATTATATTATAAATGTGTGTGCAAGGAATACATGAGGGGAAGGGATTGCGGCAGGAAATCCTACCGTGGAACTCAAACAGAACATATTTGTTTTACTGTGTATAATTACAATACACACACACAGTGTTCTGTATATGTTGTTGGAAGGTTGTTTTTCTATGGGCCTAACTGCTAATCCATGCTTCTCATGCAGATTAGCATGTTGCACTGATATTTAGTTCTGTGAATGGAAATATTCTTACATCTGCACCAAATAGGATCATGTAAATACTGGTAAGTCAAAGTGTGCCCAAGAAGATGATGTTCATTTCTTCACATGTCATGAATACCCAGAAACCTTTTTGCATGCATCAGGTTACATAAATTGCATATAAAATCATGTCTACAGTTACTGCCTGGAGTTGAAACCTGCATGAGAATCACAGCATAGTTGAAACCTGCATGAGAAGCATAGATTAGCAGTTAGGCCTGTAGAAAAACAACCTTCCAGCAACATACACTTTGGGTGTGTATGAGGCATGCAGACGGCAGACTGTACAGGTGCTCCTCAGAGGCCAAAGACTGCGTCCCAGGTCTCCATCAAGCAGTATCCACAGGTTGCCACGGTGATAGTGCTGGCAGTAAAGTGGTTTAATAATTTCTCTTTCCTCTGTAATGAGGGCATTTGAACTGGCACATTTGTCTTCTCTTTCCTCCCCAGCATTTCAGCTCTGAGGATCAGTCAACTTTTTTGGATCATTGAGGATATGGTGGAGGCTGGTGTATACCTACCTTCTCCTTCCCTTGTTCCTCCATGTATAGCACACAACATAAGCCAGGTTCTCTAGGAAATGGTCACTTTTCCATAAGTCCCATCCATATGTGTTCCTCCTCGTAGTCCAGTTCCATTACCTGCTTCAGTTTTGTTATAAACCTTCCGTTTGTGTTCCCAGATGGTTCAAAGCCATAATATGCCTCATTTGTTGATTTAGCATATTGTTCAAACCTTGGCTTGCAAAAAGTTGTCTACCTCTGTTTTATCCAGTGCTAGAGCAAATTCACCAACATTTCTGGATATAACTGCATAGTTGAAACTTTTCCCTGATATGATAGGAAGCAAACAGAGCATATCCTCCAAAGCCAGAATTTTTCTATTTTATACAATAATTCCATCTGTGTTTGAGAATACATCTCACTGTTTTAGTCTGCTGCATCTATTCGTTTCTGAAGAAAACACAATGATCTTTTGGACACAGTAGGTTGGATACTGAATAATAACTGGAAGGGAACATATGGGTCATACCTAAACAACGAGGATTAGCCATGTCTATTGTATAAGCTGTTTTTGGCCCACAACACTTTTGGATTTGATTTGCTCCCATTCCCCCCATCTTGAGCATTTGGTTTTAGGGATTAAAAAAAAAGGTTCAGTTCAAATAAAGATAACTTTTTCTTTTCTAAATCTAATTACAGCATGGGGATACTTGTGTTTGTGGGAAGTATTATGGCTGAGAAGGGATTCCTGTGGGTCACCCTGCCCCAATTTTCCCTTGTGTAGCAATTAGATTTGTGGGGCAGGAGTAGATGGACTTGAATTATTGCTAATGGGCACTTTTTTTCAAATTGTAATTGTCACTGGGAATGCAGTGAGGAGGAAATGGCAGCAGAAGGTAAAGAGAGAAGAGAAAAAAGGAAAAAGAATGAAGAGAAAATAGGGAAAAATGATTAATGCGTTGTATGCTTGTTTAGGTATGAACTGAGAGGAAGATGAAAGAGATAATGTGTCAGCCCTAGTAGGCAGACCAGACTAAGAAACCAACACCATATAGGTCAGGACTACTTTTACTGTAACATCTGTAGTAACAGAATCTTGCAAGTCTGAATGTGCTTTCCTCTCCCTCCCTTTATCTTTGTGTCAGCTAGAGAGGGCCTTGTCTGAGTCGTTTTCTCAAGTTATTTTCTTGGACAAGCTCAAGTCCCTCTTATCTGATGTTGCCTTGGTAGCAGCTCTTCCTCCTGTTCTTCAAGGCCATTCCCTCTGTCTTCCACCTAATGAGTGAGAATGGATGAATAGTGTCTGTGGGCAAATCCACACAGCCTCCTTGGCCTCACATGAGGACAGCCCAGTGGTTCTGACCACATGAACTGTGTGCCTCCCTCTGTATATTCCCAAGAAGGCTTAAGGTGCTACCCTCTGGAAATGGTGGTTTTCCTAATGTCTTGCCCTCAAATACTGTGCATGGGCAAGATAGGGTGAGTTGATGTGCTTTGGTGAGACAGCCTGAAATGATGGGTACTGGGCTAGCAGCAAACCTGTGACTCCAGTTGGTTCTGCTGATTTCCTTTGAGACACTGCTCTCAGTCTGGTCCTTGACCTTTTTGCCCATCCTCAGTCCTCTTTTAGTTTCAAACAAGACCGGAATTCCAGATTCTGCAGTCCTCCCTCTTTGAATGGTCATTGGTTGGTAGGTGCACTGGGAGAGTGTAAAGCCTTGAAATTGGTCAGCCTGTGCCTGGGTTAATTGAAAGTGTAATTGAAAGAACCTGGCTCTTGTTTTTCTGTAGTCTATCTATCAGGGAAGTCCCTTCTCTGCTTTTCCGAGAGAAGGCCTGACTCCATGCTTCTTCTCCTCACATTAGGGTAGTTTACAGCTCCTATACCAGTGTTTTTCAACCTTGGCAACTTTAAGATGTGTGGACTTCGACTCCCAGAATTCCCCAGCTGGCCATGCTGGTTAGGGAATTCTGGGAGTTGAAGTCTTCATATCTTAAAATTGCCAAGGTTGAAGAACACTGTCCTGTACTGATTCTCACAGCTAAACCTCTTCTCAAACTCTTATCCACCAGCTGTATTTTGGCTGCACAAATCCAGATGATCACTAGATGGCAGCCAAGAAATAGTAAAACAGACATAATGCTTTGCTCCCACCTAGTTGTTGATAGGTTGACCACTTGACCCATAGTTTCGAGGTATTAAAGAAATTCAGTTGCTTGAGGGTGCAACATGAAAGAACGAACAAACAAAACAGTGCAGGGCATGAAATAACCAGAGCATTGTGCATGTCAGTTGGAGGAAGCTTTTCATATATTGGATGATGTTGGGTAGGGCTAAAGTTCAACCAAAGGAACCAGCCACCGCGTTGCCAAGTTTGAGCCTGTGTTGCTCTCAGGCATCAACGTATTGTGTATTAAAGCTATATAGACAGCAGCACAGCCCAGACCCATTCCTGATGTGCAATAAGGGTATACTATGGAGCAGCGCGGGGG